CGGTACGGCGCTTCAGCGGCGGTGGTTCTTCCCGTGTCGAGTGGGTTGCACACATCAGGCTGCATTATCCCCGGTTTGTGTTGAAGGCGGCCATCTCCCCTGTGCACTTCAGCACACTAAAAGAGCAATTCGAAATGAGCAAACTCGAAAAGAGCATTCACGGGTGGACGTCTTTTTAAAGATGCATCTTTTTAAAGATGCCTTTCCACCCGTGCGTTACTGGATGCGGTCGTTACCTGGTGCCGGGCGATGGTCACGATCGCTGCCTCACGTGTCTGGGCATTAAACATGTTGAGGTGGCGTTCACGGATAAGTCATGTTCCCATTGCGGGAGATTGACCGTAGCGGAGTTGCGGACCAGGCTCCATTTCCTGCAAAGGGGCGGGGTGCCCGTGCCTCAGCCTAGATCTAGGGCTCCACCTGCATTAACCAACCTACATTAACCGACAAGGTGGTCTATGCTCCTGTCGCATGTCGCAACTCGCCCGCCACCTTCTCCTCTGGAGTCAGAAGCATCTGAGGTTGCTTCGTGCCATTCACATTCCTGGTCTGCACAACCGGGCAGCCGATGAGCTGTCATGAGCTGCGCTCCCAGGAGAATGGAGACTCCATCCCCAGACGGTCCAGCTGATTTGGAGTCGTTTCGGAGCCACTCAGGTAGACCTGTTTGCCTCTCCAGAAACCTCTCACTGCCAGTTGTTCTACTCCCTGACCGAGGGAACACTCGGCAGGGATGCACTGGCACACAGCTGGCAGCGGGGCCTTCGCAAATACGCGTTTCCCCCAGTGAGCCTTCTTGCACAGACGCTGTGCAAGATCAGGGAGGACGAGGAGCAGGTCCTGCTCATGGCGCCTTACTGGCCCACTCGGACCTGGTTCCCGGAACTGATGCTCCTTGTGACAGCCCCTCATTGACAGATTCCTCTGAGGAAGGATCTACTGACTCAGAGACGGGGCACCCTATGGCACCCGCGTCCAGACCTCTGGAAACTTCATGTCTGGTCCCTGGACGGGATGCGGAGGTTCTAGGTGACCTACCCCAAGAGGTAGTTGACACCATCACTTCACCGAGAGCACCGTTTAAGAGACACGCTTACGCCTTGAAGTGGAACCTGTTCGTCGAGTGGTGTTCTTCTCACCGAGAAGACCCCCGGAAATGTCCGATCAGAGTCGTGCTGTCCTTTCTGCAGTGGTGGAAAGAGTACTGAAAAAATATACTCAAGTAAAAGTACCATTACCTTCCAAAAAATTTAGTGTGAGTAGAGTAAAAGTACTTATCCAAAAAACTACTTGAGTAAGAGTAAAAGAGTAGCCTATTTAAAAGTACTCATGAGTATTGAGTAGTGAGTACTGAGCTGTGGATTCTACCCCCTCATAATAAACGCTGTACACCGCAATTGATACATTTTAAAAACGTTGTACATTCTGTAATTCACTTTATCTTGTTTGTCATAAAGAATAAAGAATATCTATTATCCAGCCGTTTTAATTTTGACTGCCAACTCTTTAAAATACATCAAAACAGCACGGAAACAGTATTCAGTTGAAGAAAAGATGAAAGTTATTCTCAATACAATCATCCACATTTAAATCATAAAGTTTGAAAAAAATAGATTTAAAATCATGTGTAAGGCCACTGAGACAGCAT